TCGCGTATTTAATCTCTTTCGAACTTGCCCTGGCCCCCCCCCTGGTGAGGCTTGATTGAAGTTTTGCGCGTTCAGGGACGAAGCAGCGAAACCGGCTGAGGGGGATACACCGTTCAATGAAGAGAGGTGAGGGGGGAGAGAGAAAGGAGGAATAGAAGAGGGAGGATTGGAGAGGGGCGAGAGGGCGAGAAATGAGGGAGGATGGGGAGAGGGAGGAGGTAAAAAGGGATCGGGAAGGATGGAGGGGGGCGGAGGAAGGTGAGGGAAGGGAGAATGGATCAGGGGGAGAGGGGGAAGGGGGCGAGAAGAAGGAGAAAGAGGAGCAAGGAAGCGGCGCAGGGAAATTGGGAGAAGGATGAAGAAGACCAAAGGTTTACATGCGAGGAATGTCTCACGTGGGGCTGGCTGGTGGAGGCGACTGCAATATGCTCGGCAACCGGCTGTGGAAAAAGTGCAAGCGTACGAAGCATCCTAACCAGAATGCGCTCCAGCGCAAGGACCTAACATCAATCACGGGGGGAGTGGGAAGGGGCGGGTGGAGAGGAAAACCGCGCCTTCGATGTCGAAACACGTCCTGCTCCCTCCAGAAGCACAGACTGGCGTGCTGCCCCAGAAGCTGGAGGTGCAGCTCGCCTTGGGTGAGCTGTGGCCCTCGTGCTCTACGGAGCTTCTGAAAACACGCAGGCTTTCCCGCGCCGTCCAACACAACCGGCGAGCGCCTGGCGAGCTCCCCCGGAACTCTTCACACGCAGCCCCCCCCGCCCACGCATCCCCTGAGATCCTGGCGCTGTATTCTTGTTCACAGCAGGCGCTTTCCCTCCATCTCGGGCCCCGAGACCCTCGCTGATCGATCCTGCTCGAAAAATGACGCAGAGACATGGGGTCCGGGGCTCTGGTCGTGACTTTTTGCGATGTTGCAATTTTTCTGCAACGTTGGATCTCAAGGCCCGGCGACGCGAAGCAGACAAAACAACATCAGGAGCACAACAACGTGGAGGTCCGCGCGGATTTCTCAGATCAACGCTGGACCCCCTCCATGGCGCGCGGAGTCCGCCAGGGGGGCGATGCAGGTCCGCGAGCCTTGAGCAGGGACCGACCATCCGGACATTCCCCATAGGCCTACCACGATATGTTCTTAGAAAGACAAAGCTCTTATATCAGATAAAACATCCGATTGATCAGAAGAAGACGGGCTCAACCAGAAATGATCTAAGAACATGTCGTGCAAACCCCAACAGGTAACATGTCGTGCAAACCCGCATTCTGCGGTAGGCCTATATCGGAGACTCCAAAGAGTGTGGCTTGCAAAAGGTGTGGCTTGCATTTGTAACCGGCACCCTGTGGCACGTCCTGGGGGGGGCACCCTGGGGGGGGGCGCGCGGGGACCTCGATAGAGCTCTCCCGCGCCCCGAGGAGGCCCGACGAGGACAGCGCCGTGCCCCCCAGGCCCCGACGGTGCCGATCGCAAACCACTACCCGGCGTCACCATGCCCTTTGCAGTCGCCGACTGCACTCGTAACCAGCCTCAAACGTATCCCTATCCCTAAGATGGGCGAGCAAAAAGCGAGGACAATCTTAGCGATAGGCCCTCGAAAACTAAGGGAATCCTTGAGATCGGCATCGAGGTGAGGTGATGTCAAACATAGCGATAGGGATATGTTTCAAACTGGTAGCCTCGGGCCCATGCGCAAGCCGGGACGCTCCGCCGCTGCTCGTGGCCCGAGCTGCCGCCCCCCGCCCTCCATGCCCGTGCGGCAACCGTGTGGGCTCAGGTCGGGCGTGTCCCCCTACAGGCGGATGTTGGGCGGAAACACATACAATCAAACTATCCCAATAGAGTATTTGTTTACTATGTGTTTAGTAAGTTCAACATAAAATAAATAATCAAAATGCTCCAATCAATAAATAATAAATCAACATACGAATCAAAAATCATAATACCACTCCAATCAAAATAATGATCAAACATGTGTTATATAAAAGACGTCCCAGGAGTTTGTTGTTTACTATGTTTGAACGTTCCTCCTGTAGAGGGACACGCCCGACTTCAGTGCAGGCCCATATGACGCCGCGCAAGGGGGGCCCTGCGGCGTGGCGGCGGGACGGCAGCGCCCGCCGCCACGTTTCCACGACGCCCGAGGTCCCCGAACAAACATCGGAGCGGCGGGCTTTGGCTGCTTGCGGCCTCCGGGGGCCCTCGCCTGGCCTCGGGACCGTCAACAGATTTCACAATAAAAGGGCGTTGGTTTGATTTTTGTTTGGAGGGTCAGATTAGAGCTGCCTTGGAAGGTTCCAGCGGGGTCTGGGCAAAAGGCCGCCCTTTGTTGGCTGGTCTGGAGGAGTGTCTAAACCTGTTGTGAGTGAGGGAGGGAGGGAGGGAGAACGACTCGGGACGAGAAACGGGCCCTAGGGAAGTGGTCCAGACCTCCGGGGCCCACGCATCGAACAAATGGGAGCGGCCGCATTTCTGGGTGTAGATTCGTATGGTTGCCCCCCCAAAAAATTATGCATCTTATCTTGAATCGTATTCACGTTCATCATCTTCTCATTCATCCTTCCCTTCTCTTCTTCCGTCCTCCCCCTTCTCCAAACACAATTCCTCCTCCTCCTTGCCCACCCTCCTCCTCCTCATTCTCCGTTCCGTTTCCTCCTGTTTGTAATATTGAAAAACAGCAATACACAGTGTTTGGCGCCCTCGATGCAAGGAAACGTTGTGTATTGTTGGTTTTTCTGGGTTTAGGATGCAAGGGAACATTGCGTATGTGTGGTTATGTTGGCTTTCTGGGTGCTCCCCGCGGCCTCCCCCCTGCACCTCCTCCTTTCCTTTCCTCCTTCCTGTTGTAAAACAAGAAAATTAAAGATGCACAGTGTTTGGCGCCCTCGGTGCAAAGAAACGCTGTGTATTTGTGTTTTTGTTTTCCGGTTTTCTGGGTTTGGGATGCAAGGACACATAGTGTTTGTTTTTTTTTGGGGGGGGGGGGTATTTTGGTTTTTTGGAGCTTTGGAAGCTCAAGTGCTCCCCGCGGCCTCCCCCCATCACCTCCTTCTGTTCCGGAGCTCCCAGAACCCGAAAAACATAAAAACAAAAAAAAACTCAATGCTTCCTTGCATCTGGAACCAAAGCAAAAACTTAGCAACACAAACATACACAGCGTTTCCTTGCACCGACGGCGCCAAACACCGTGAATGTGTGGCTTCCATGCTTTGCAACATGGAGGAGGCAAGGAAAGGAGGAGGTGCTGGGGGGATGCCGCGGGGAGCACTTGAGCTTCCAGACCCCCCCCCAAAAAAAACAAAAATACACTGTGTCCTTACATCCTCAACCCAGAAAGCCGGAAAAACAAACATACACAGCGTTTCCTTGCACCGAGGTTGCCAAACACTGTGATGCTTGGTTTTCTTGCTTTGCAACAAGGAGGAGGAAAGGAAAGGAGGAGGTGCTGGGGGGAGGCCGCGGGGAGCACTTGAGCTCCCAGAACCCAAAAAAAACATAACCACAAATACACAATGTCTCCTTGCATCCTCGACGAAAAAACAGAAAAAACAAAAATACAGGTCCTTGCATCGAGGGCGCCAAACACTGTGTATTGTTGTTTTTGTGTTACTACAAAGAGGAGGAAACGGAACGGAGAATGAGGAGGAGGAGGAGGGGCGAGGAGGAGGAGGAGGAGGAACTGTGTTTGGAGAAGGGGGAGAACGGAAGAAGAGAAGGGACGGATGAATGAGAAGATGATGAATGTGAATACGATTCAAGATCCAATGTATGATATTGGGGGGGGCAGCCGTTCGTATACATATATACATATGTAGCCGCACAGTCACTTCTAAACGCGCACAAAACCCACGAAGGCGGCGACACGGCAAAACCACGGCAATCTCTGTGGCCGAGGCGGAGTTTGCCCTGGTGGGCAAAGCGTCCTCCCAAAAACGCAGGGCCGCGCGTCGGAACAAACAGCGCGGCGACATAGATTGCGGTTCTGGTTCCGGAAACCCTGAACCCCACTAAATGATCATCTCTCGGACAACAACTTCGTACTTCCGCCGGCTTCCGCCAGCCTTCCGCAAGCATCCGCCGGAGGAGGCGGCCTCGGTTTGCTTCCGCCGGCTTCCGCCAAGGAGGAGATGGCAACCCCTTCGAATATCGAAGGCGTGGCCCTTTCTGGACTGCCTCCTATATATATATATATACACTAGAACCACGCGTGCACCTCGTGCACGCTTAGGTTCTAGTGCGCTCCAGGCGGCGTCACCACGCCGTAACGAAAGCAACCAAGCAAATTAACAGCAATGGGAGCCAAGGGGGTCCCGCATGATGATGATCAGGCGTTATACATATAGATGTGAATAGCTTATTTGGTCAAGTGCCCATCTGGTGTTGGTCCACTTCACTACTTACACGCCGTCCTGGGGCCGTCGAGTGTTCTTCAAAATCCAGATCTCAGCATATCCGAAGTGCTGTCGGAAAGGCTTGGGGTAGAGCAGTGGTTACAAGCAAAGGCCTTCCAGAAACCTGCCTGGGGCCCTTGGGCCCTCTAGGACTGCTCGAAGGTTACCCATGATTGCAATGGAGGCCCGACAACAAGAAACCTTCTACAAGAAGCCCGACCTGAGACCCCAAGATGTTCATGGATGTGTGGCGTGGGAACGTCACGCCTTCCATCGCCAAACCATCGAGACCCAAGAAGCCCAGGGCACCCTGGAGGCAAGCAGGGCATTTCTTGGCATGGGTCTTCACTTTAGTAGGACCCGCGACAAAGAAGCACCGACTGCGTTCTGATGTTGGTCTGCTGTGCGCGGTCGGTGGCTCTGAGGGATGGGCGGTGGGGTCTTCTCTTGGCCCTTCCTTAGCTCCTACTGGCCAGGAGCATGCGCCAAACACAGACACCCAAACACAATCACTGACTGTTGCCTGTTCAGGCCCCCTTGGGGGCGTTTTTGTGGGGCTTCTTAGGGCCGCTTGGGCGCCTCTTGGGGCCTCTTTGGGGCTTCTCGGGGGGCCTCTTGGGGGCTTCTGGGGGGCCTGCTTGTTGCCTCGGGGTTAATCTTGGAGCGGAGGGCTCGAGAAGTTAGATCGAGTTCCCCTTCGTTGCCCCTTCTTGGGCGCCTCCTGGGTCCCTCTTGAAGCCTTTTTGGGCTGTCTCGGGCGTCTCTGGGGCCGTCTTGCGGGCCTCTCGGACTCCTCGACGCCCTCTTGGGAGCCTCTTGGGCCCCTTCGGGGCATCCTGGGCCGTCCTGGACGCTGTCAAATGAAAAGTGCGAACATATTAAAAATATAAGCTTTCCCGTATGAATGGGCTAATGTCTGCCAAGTGGGGCCCTCTTGAGAGCCCTCTTGGAGCGCTCGTGGTGCGTAACTATTGGGGGCCTCTTGGGCCATGTTGAAGCCATCGTCGGTGTCTTGGAACGCTCTTGGGCCGTGTTAAGGGCCTCTTGGCACGTCTTGGAAGAAACTGTGGGCCATCCGGGGCCAACCTGGGGCTGTCGAAGGCTCGTGGGAGCATCCTGGGGCTTCTTCTTGGGAGACTCTCTTGGGGCCTCTTGAGACCTCTAGGGCTGTCTTTGGGCGTCCGTGGGCCGTCTGACGCCTTCGAAGCTGGCTTGGGGAACCATTTAATGCCATTTGGAGGGCTGTCGGGTCGTCTTCGGGCCATCCTTGCTCGTCTTGGGAACCCCGATGGCCACCCTGCAACCCTCTCGGGCACTCTTGAAGTGGCTCTCATGGGAGACTCTTGGGCCGTCTTTGGGTGATCTCCGAGGACTCTTGGGCTGTCTGACTTTTACGCCGCTCGGCGTCGCCAGCGCGCCAACCCCTTGGGCGTCTGTGCGTGCGCGCGCGGCCCAGCGACGGGACAGACAAGCGAGCGACAGAGGCGGCCACCTCTGGGAGTGGTGCAAGATAGCCGACAAATTGATCAAGAAACTTGTCACCTAAGAAATCTGGGCCAGCTTCCCGGAAGTCTCTTAAAGCTCACCTGGGCCAGGTTCTGTTGTCAACACTGGAGGGCGAACGTGCTCAAGAAACTGAGACAGCTTTCCAGCAAGTTGGCCAAGAAGCGCTGGTCCAACTTTTCTGGAGGAGGTTTGTGAATCAAATGCTCGACGGTAGGGGCTCGACCACAAGAAACCTTCCACAAGGAACCCCACCCTGAGACCGCAGGGCGACCCCTGGTTTCGCCGACGACTGGTTTCGCCCGCCCGACGAGACCAGCTCCGTCGGCGAAACCAGCCCCGTCGGCGAAACCAGCTGCCGTCGGCGAAACTGCCCGACCCGACCCGACCCGCCCGCTAGGGTCCGCCCGCCCGACCCGACCCGCCCGTCAGGGTTCACGCGTGCTCGGTCGAGCGCGCCCCACACTTGAAAGTCCCGCCCGCTCGACCCGACCCGCCCGTTAGGGTCCGCGCCCCACAGTTTAAAGTCCCGCCCGCCCGACCCGACCCGCCCCTTAGAGTCCGCCCGCCCAACCCGACCTGACCCGCCCGCCAGGGTCCGCCCGCCCGACCCCACCCGACCCGCCCGTGAGGGTCCAGCCGCCCGACCGGCCCGTTGGGGTCCGCCCGCGCGACCCGACCCGCCCGTCGGCGAAACCAACGCTGGCGAAACCAGCCGCCGGCGAAACCAGCCGCCGGCGAAACCAGCGCCGGCGGAACCAGCGCCGGCGAACCCACCCGTCGGCGAAACCAGCGGGGCGAAACCAGCGCCAGCGAAACCAGCTCATGGCGACCACAGGACGTCCATTGATGTTTGGTGTGGGAACGTCACGGTTTCCATCGCAAGACCATCGAGACCCAAGAAGCCCAGGGCATCCTGGGGGCAAGCAGGGTGCGTCTTGGCATGGGCCCACACGGTACATCACGAGGGCGAGGTGACACTAGCCCCAGACCCCCGAATGATTTCTTACGTCGACACCCAGATGTCCCGACCCTTTCACCATGACTGGCTTTGCTTCCTGTGTCGTTTTTTGACGCTCCCGAGGCCCGGTGAGGGCTCCCAGAGGCCGAAAATGGCGAAACACCTCCCGTCGTGATCTTTTGTCATTACTCGAGGGGGTCTGGGAGGCAAGCAGGGGTGCTTCTTGGCATGGGTCCTCACGGTGCATCACGAGGGCGAGGTGGCACGGCGGAAAATTGCGAAAAACCTCCCGTCATGATCTTTTCATTACTCGAGGGGACCTGGGAGGCAAGCAGGGTGCTTCTTGGCATGGGCCCCCCACGGTGCCTCACGAGGGCGAGGCGGCACGAGCGGCGGAGGGAGGCGCACTGCCCGCCTGCATCTGGAGCTCGGAAGGCCTCTCGGGCGGCCCTGGTCTACGTTTATGTCGGGCGTGTCCCCCTACAGGGGGATTTTCGACGAAGAATTAAAAAATACCCTAAACATACCCCCAAAAGGCCAAAACATACCCCAAAAATGCTCCCCAAACTATTGTTGGAGCATTTTTTGCCCATTGTTGGGGTATTCCATTTTTCGTCGAAAATCCCCCTGTAGAGGGACAGGCCCGACCTAAGTCTACGTATAACTATCATAAGCCCGAACGGGCGCGCTGTGCCCGCCGACCCGAGACCCATGCATGCCTGGAGCCCCGAGCGGCGCATGCATGATTTGACCAGTGGTTCCTCTGCACAGTCGTGGCACTGACCGTCGCTCGGACGTCCATTTCCCGTGCATTTTTTGGTTTCGCGCGTGTTTTTCTTGCTCGATGGTCCAGGATGGTCCTCGCTGGTCCTCGCCGAGAAAGAATGCACATGTCCGAGCGATGCCAAGGACAATGGAGCGGGAGGACGACGAGGAGGAAGAGGAGGAGCAGCAGCAGGCCGAGCAGCGGCAGCAGAAGGGGTCTGGGGCAGACGGAGGACGGGAGAGGAGCGGACCGTTAATCCAGACCCCCGACGCCATATTACGCTCGCACGACGTCGGCCCGCGCTGCCCCCCGTGATAACCAGGAGGAGCAGGAGGAGGACGAGGAGGAGGAGTAGGAGGAGGTGGAGAAGGAGGAGGAGGAGGACGAGGGCCAAGAGGAGGAGGAGGCGGAGGCGGAGGAGGAGGAGGAGGAGAAGGACGAGGGCGAAGAGGACGAGGAGGACCAGGAACCGACACACTTGAACTGTTATGTTGCATCTTCGGGGGACCTCGTCTGTCCCGTCGCGCCCCCTGCCCGCGTCGAGTCCGAGCCGGATCCGCGTCGGCCTCGTCGGATCTGCGTCGATTCCGCGCCAAAGAGGCGTCGGGTCCCCATCCAGCCCGCACCGGGCACAAGAAAAGACGCACCTTTTGGGGGGACGGGCGACGTCCCCGGAAACTGCAGCGTAAGCACTGGCGTCTCCAGAGGGGCATCCACCGAAAACAGAAGCATAAGCTTTCGGAGGTCCGCGCGAAAAGACGCACCCTTTGGGGGGGACGGACGACGTCCCGGGAAACTGCCAGCGGAAGCACTGGCGTCTCCAGAGGGGCATCCACCGAAAACAGAAGCAGAAGCTTTCGGAGGTCCGCGCGAGAAAAGATGCACCTTTTGGGGGGACGGACGACGTCCCCGGGAAACTGCCAGCGTAAGCACTGGCGTCTCCAGAGGGGCATCCACCGAAAACAGAAGCATAACCTTTCGGAGGTCCGCGCGGGCTGCCTGGGTCGGCGCCAGACGCCCCCCCTGGAGGAGGCGCCTCCCGCGCCGCCCCTGGCGCGCCTCGCTCGCCGGGGGTCAGACGCGTAGATTCGTGCCGTGCTGCTTGATTGAAGTCGGGCCTGTCCCCCTGCAGGGGGATTTCCGACGAAAATCAAAAAATACCCCAAAAATACCCCCAAAAAGTTTAGAAAAAAAATACAAGAGAAATAGTTCCCAGACTATTGTTGGACTATTTTTGGAATATTGCTGGGGTATTTTAGATTTTTCGTCGAAAATCCCCCTGTAGGGGAACAGGCCCGACCTAATGCTTGATTCCAGTGCCCTTTGCGCCTCAGTCATCAGCATCCTCGTCCTCCGGACAGATCCCGAACGAGTCTTCTTCCCCGTCCTCCTCGTCGAAGTCCGCCCACAGCATGCCCACCAGGCAGCTCACCAGCTTGAACAGCTTCTTGTTCTCGTGCAGCATCATGTGAATGTCGACGCTCTTGGCCTCGCCACGGAACTTCTGCATCCCGCTGGTGAACTCCATGATGTCGACAGATCCGCTGCCGTCCCTGTCCTCGCAAGGAAGGACCAATGCGCACGGCAGGTTGGTGTCGCGCCGTCTTCAGCGTTGGCCTCTGACGCCGCGCTGGATCGTCCAACCTTGCACGATCGGCCAACTTCGAAGCATCACGTCGTGAAACGTCGACCGATTCTGGGTCGCCGGCGGCGCTCAGCCTTGAACGCCGGCGGCGGCGGGGTCCCCGCCGATCGACACGACGAGAACCTATCGTGGCCATGCCGTCGTTGTCTGGACACCTCGGCGCGATCCCACGCGTACGTGATCCCGCGGGTACCTTTGATCGCGACCGCGCTGAGAGCAGCCGGGCGGAGTCCAAGGGCGCAGCTAACTAAGCGGCGGCCTAAATCACGCGCAGCGATCCCGCGGATACGCGTCGCGAGAAACACCCGCAACAAACTGACCTGTCTAATACATGCCGGCGCGGCCGAGGAGTCCAGACCGCGAGGACGTGGACATGGATACGTTGTTGGCCCGCGACGTCCAGCATCTGGAAGAACACCTTCGCATCAGTGACATCCACTTCCAGCGCAGACAGGTAATCGCGAACTTCTTGCTGCTCTAAACTCGCCACGAACTCCTCGAACGTGACCAGCTGATCTCCGTCCACATCCATCAGTGTCAGCAGGTTGACGACGTGGCGTTCCTTGTTCGCGTGTTCCTCCCTCTGCTTCTGCATCATTACTGAACGGTCGCGTTTGGAAAGCTCGATGGCGCCATCAACAAACACGCCATTAACAATCCGCTAACCCCTACACGCCTGAAGAACACATCACCTTATCTTACGGGGTAGATGCTCAAGTCGCATGAGAAGAGGTCACTGCAGACCGACACCCAGTCAGATGAGGTAAGCGCAGAGATGACAGAGCTGGAGATTAATAACCGACCACTAATTTGTTATATGATAGACGTAGAATAATGACCGTGGGTAATAAAGGTAAACGCTCATTGAAAAAAGTAGCACAGTCCGAGGCGGACCCAAATTGTTGCCTTGCTCTCGAGACGCCACCAACCCAATGGGGGGGGTATGAAGTCCAACGCTCGAAGTAATTGGGGCATATCCAATGTAAAAAAGTTGCAAACATACACGCGTTGACATCCCACGCTCCCGTCCTGCGACGTGCTAAGTGAAGGTGCTTACTCATATTCCAGAGTGGACGACCGCCACTTGTCCAGGAAAAGAAGGCGCGTAAGATGCGTCGTTGTCCCCAACGGCTCCAAAGAAAACGAATATGCTGTTTGAAGTGGGGGGAAATGCGAAAGCTCTTCCCGACATGTATTCTCGGCCGTGGACATCCTCGACACCGCTCCAGCTGGTCCGGGCGCCGCTGTACGTGGTTCATACACACTGGGTTTCAATAGCCACCTCGTTGGCGCTCTCACATCAACAGGCCCATCGCCAACACATCAGGATCTGACAAGGCACGCGGTTCCGTGGGAAAGCTGCATCGGGAGTCCTGTGCGTTGCACCCCCGACGGGGTCAATGGATAGGACATGGACGGGAAGGACGACGACGACGACAACGACGACGTCCAAGACGAGGAAGGAAATCAGGGGGGATGGAGCAGGACGGAAACGAAATCGAAGGGGCGACGGATACGCTCAGGGTGGGATGATTACGAAGGACGCCTTGACAACTCCGTTTTGGGATCAGCGAGCGGCTGCTTGACCTTCGCCCTGCTGTGGCCCGCACCAAAAAAAACGCGAAACCGCAGGAGCGACGCCAGATCCGCGAACGGCCCCTGGGCGAGAACGTCCTTGCCATGGTAGCGGACCACGATGACGATGATGTTGGTGAAGACGAGGAAGCGGAGAAACGGAAAATAGACAAGAAAAGGAGGAGGAGGACGAGGAGGTGGGAGGAGATGGAAGACGAGGCCGAGGCGGATAAGGCGGCGGGGGAGGAGGAGGAGGAGGAGGAGGAGGAGGAGGAGGAGGAAGAGGAGGGAGGAGGAGGACGAGGAGGAAGAGAAGGAGGACGAGGAGGAGGAGAAAAAGGAGAAGAAGGAGAAGGATAAAAAGGAGAGGAGGAGGAGGAGGAGGAGGAGGAGGAGGAGGAGGAGGAGGAGGAGGAGGAGGAGGAGGAGGAGGAGGAGGAGGAGAAGGAGACGATCGAGAAATGAGGATCCCCGCCCACACTACCTGGGCGGCCCGCAGGGCGGGGGCTCCTCGACGTCGTAGGCGCCGAACATAGCCGCTGTTTCAATCGGAGGAGGAGCAGGAAAGAGGCACGCACCGGCATCAGCATGGCTCGGGAGCGACGGATCAGGAGGGGAGGCGGGCACGGCCCACACATGCTGAGGAGGGCACGGCGCGCTCACGGCTGACACCGACAGGCCTTGCAGCGGTTGGGCGCGCGGAAGAGGGGCAGGCGCGAGGGAACAGGAGCGGAGCAGGAGCGAGAGACGCAAATGAGATGTTAGTCATCACGGACAGAGCTGGGAAAGCAGGGGACAGGGTGGCGGGCAGGCACAGCAACGAGACAATTCGCAGAGTTAAGCCAATCAGCAATATCACGTGCCAAAATCAAGCGCAACATTCTCTCAGCAGTCGCCGACAGGTCAGGGGGCAAACCGTGCCAAATCTGCATCTGCACCTCCGGGGGAACACCTCCGGGGGAAGCAGAGGCATCCACGAGATCACAAATCTCCTCGGACCGGGCTGGCCAATGAGTATTGTTTAACCGATCCCCATCCCCAGCGGCGTGGCCTGGGCCCCACTGGCCGATGTACACGGAAATAGGCCGTATCCTTCGGGTTCCGACGGGTGTATCCCCAACTGGGGGGGGTAATCTGGCGGGGGTCTCGAAGGGGATGGGGATGGGGATTGGTTAAACGATACCGAACGAAGCGATCGGTGTCGAGGGCGGCGCTGGCGAGGTGCGGGGAGGGGTCGCAATCAGTGCATCAGGCGTCGGAGGAGAGTCGCATCTGGGTGTCGGCCTCGGCGACCAGCCTGGAGACACTGCACGGCATGTGGGCGGGATGCGTGGAGAGCTGGTCGATCCCTCCTCGTCGCGGGCAGGAAACGTACATAGAGGAGGAGTCCGAAGCAGAGGGCGGCGAGCTGGACGAAGTCCATCTCCGCCTGGGGGCGAACTGGGAGCGGTCATCATTCGTGAGCGACCGCGGTTCGGCCGTCATCATGGAGCGGACACCAGCAAAAGCAGCGCTACTCATCTCGAGTAAGTGCAGCGGCCACGAGATCGACATCCTGGCAACGCCATAGGCCGCATACGCCGCCGCCGCCATGCACGCGAAAGGAAGCAAGAAGGGCCTCACTCGCACACGCTTCATCATAACATCTCGAGGAAGGGAGCGTACGAGGCCGCCCCGGGGAACCTCGGGCAGCGAAGGTAGTGGGCAAGAGCGCGACGGTGATCCAAGCAATCAAATGCACAACACCTCACCCCTGCTGTGTGCAAAATCCTGGGAGGCGTGAGCCATCCGTCACACCGCATCCTCAAGGCAGCTCAGGTCCAAGAACAGAGACAGCGCTTTTACATGAGGAAGGTGGCGTCCCAATCGATCATCTCCAGCACCTCGGGGCGTGGGCCAGCAAACTTACGTATCCTGCGCATGATGTGGGCTGTGAGCGGAGCGGTTTCGATATCCAGCGCACGAAGTGCACGGTGGGCCGGCAGCACGCTGAGGACGGGGGCGGGCACCTGCACCAGGGGTACGAGCCTCAACCGCAGCTGTCCAGTAGAGCAAGGCCGCCGGGCCGACCACGTACCAGTACAGCATCCCGCTGTCCAGACGCGGGAGACCCCGACACGGCCATGCCCATGTTCTCGACCAGGGCAGCTGAGCGCCAGTGCGAGCCGCTTCGCACACATCATCATGATCGTGTGCCTCTCGGGATAGGGGTCAGCATGATGCCGCAGGTCGTCAAACAACTGGCGGTGCTGCGGGAACGTGTGAAAAGCGGCTCGCAGCAAAGACGCAAAGTTCAGATGGGCCCATCGGACAGCACGAGGACCGTTCCACACATCCATCTGCGGCCAGGCTTCGATTAGAAAGGTGCCAATCGTTGCGCGGAACATCTGCGCCAGAACACCAAGCTACAGTCGCAGCATGGCAGTCAGAAGCCAACAACATTGAGCAATGTGCGAGAGTGTTGTCACAATTCGAGTGTTGCCGAGGACCGAGGACATGCTGGCAGGGGTCGGCCCACGTCCTACAGCTCGAGCCCGAACACGAAGATTCACAACGGGGCCCTTCCACAGCCTCATTGAGTCCACTGCGGGGCCCAGCCAGACACCCAGGTAGAGTAACGAGTCGACGACCTCAAAACTGGCCCACTCGGGAGGAGGACGAGGATTTTTTTGCCGCTGCGCTACTCTGCCGCGAGTCGTCGCGGTCCTCCTGGCAGCCAGCCAGGCAGCCGACGAGCTCGGCACTTGAGACGCTGCCAGCGCAGGATTGTTCCGTGCACGCTGGCCGACCTGCCGCAACAGGCCACGCGACAGGGCCTTGCCCCCGTGGCAGATGCCAGGAGACTCGCCCGTCGGGCGTCAATCAAATAACCGAACCACGCTGAGAGCATCCACGTCGAGCCAAATCGAATCGCTCTTCGGGTGCTTGCCAGCGAGGAGTCGGTTCCAATAGGAGGCCGACGAGCGGGGACAGTGCGGCTTACCATTGCAAGCTTTGTTGAGATAGCGCACATACCCCCCCGTCGAAAAAGCCTTGCACTTCAGGCAAATACACAACGCGCTGCCGTCGGAGCAAGACAAAGCAATGCACTTATGGCCAAGCTCTATGAGCTTGGTGTCATAGAGCTTGTGGGCACGACGGCAGATACTGTTGGGGGGCCAACAAGACCTGGTCGCCCGCAAACAATGCTTGCACTGCCAGTAGCCGTCCCTATGCACCCAGGAGTGGCGATTCTTGGGAGCAGGCGCGACACTCTCCCGCTGCTCGCGTGTGGCCTGAGACAGATCACACGCGGGCCAGAGCGGGAGCAACTTAGCAGCCAGCACGCACACTTTCTTAGAAACAGAGAGGGCTCGATCGAGCCAGACAGATTGCTCGGGGCTCGGCTTCTCGTGAGCTAAAGCCCCAAGCTTGGCGTAGTGATCGGCTAGGTCATTCCCAGCCTGGCAAAAACGTAGATGAGTGCCCCCCTGGGCCTGCTCCTCGGTCATATGTCCTTTGACCTTAAAAAGTTGGCCCATCTTTGAATCAGCCGTCCAAACAAACATACCAGCATGCACCCGTTTGTAAGACAACTGTTCAGAGCGGGGGAGGGACCAAAGCTGTACAACATTCTGACAGTCACTATACCCACATGAAGGTTCCAGGGCGTTCTGGCAAGCCGCCGTGCACGCGGCGAACTCGCCAGCCTGAGCCGTTTGTGGGAGGGGGAGGGGGGGGGAGCGTACACATGACCCAACTCTTGCCCAGAATCGGAAACCGAAACGTACGACCACCCAGTCCGCGACAGCTCCCGAATGACAGACCAGATGCACGAACCGTCCATGAATATATGACCTTTAACAAAATAATCATCACGACTGGGGTCGCTGGCATGATATACTGTAGGATCCGCAACAGTAGGGGCTGGAAAGAAATCTCCAGGATGAGACATAATCCCCGTAGTATACAGAACCTGATCATGCTTCGACAGGGATGACCATGCTGGTGGATGATGCTGAAAGTCATCTCCTAACAGTTCCCGTCGCAGCTCGGCGCAGGACTCGTGCCAGCACTTCCACAACCTGTGGAAAATCGTGTCCTGCTCCTTGCCGCACAGAGGGCAGAGCAGGTCGGGCATAATGTAGCCGTGCTCTGCCGCTCTAACCTTGGTCCACGGAGCCT